TTTTTGTATTTTTTTTCTTTACCTTTTCTTTTTCTAATTGTTCACAACGACGTGATGTTTCTTCAAGTACAATTTGTACATGTTCTAATTGATGTGTAGCTATACGAATACGTTCACATACATTATCATATTTTATTTTTAAAGATTTATAATCATTTTCAAATTCATCTGCACGTCGTCGTTCTTTTTCCAAATCAACATTTAAATTTGGCTCAATCTATATTTATTAATAAATATATTAATTAAAACAAATAAAATTTTAAACAAAAAAAAATAATTTGTTCTTGACAGAAAATAAATCATGGCTATATATATATGTACGATAAAATTTTCTCATTATGATATGAATAATAACATACAATTTCCATAATGTGAGTAACATAAATGATACTATGATAAACAATATTGACTAATTAGATAAAAAAAAACAATTTTACATAACAACAACAGTATTTGATATAACATCTTGTCGATATTTTTTATATTAATAACTTATGACATTAAATCATGTCAACACGAACTGATTTACCGTTGATTAAAAACAAAAAAGAACGTGCAATTAATTAATTGTTAGAAAGACGAAAATAGAAACTGAGCACTTTTGAAGAGTTCTAATGGTACTCAAATTTGAGACGTTTTGCTTTAGGAATGTTTTCATTTTTTGTTTATTAAATAATATTAAGTCGGTATTCATTGTAATGAATTGTGAGAGTGATTTCACGTATGTCGGCAGCATTCAATATGATGGCGTCTTGCGCCATCGGCACTTTCAGGAGTTTTTTTTCTTTTATTACAATATGTGAACCACTTATGATAAGAACTTTTTAGCAATAACATTTCCGATCGAAATGATTACCTTGACTTATTTTTTTTACTTTAAATTTGATAAAAGAAATCTGTTAATGTAATCTTTGAACCGGGACTTCAAACTGGTCCCGTAATGTTTTCTGTTCCAGAACTAGACTACCTATTTCCATATTTATTATTCTGTTCTGACTAATGATCTACAAATAGGCCTTTTTTATTTATTTATGCCCAGGTCGAGAAGTACGAGTGGGTTCCGGCAGAAAAGCACTGGAAGTTATTGGAACACGGTGGCAGTATTCCGGCTGGACACTTTTTGGATTTTTTCGGTGACTTCCGATCAAATTCCTCCCGTTTTCTTCAGGAAGTTGTCCGGAAAAAATCGAAAACTTTTCCGGCCGGAATACTGCCACCCTGTTCCGGCGACTTTCAGTGTTTTCGTGCAGGATACGGTGAATTTTCCCGCATCTTTCCTACAGGATCCGGTGACCGGAATCTTCGACCTAGGATTGTTAATTTCTCAAAATCATCAATATTCATTATATATATATTCAAAAAATCATACAGATTATAAGAAAAGTCGTTTTTTTTCTAGAAACAATAAAAAGTTTTAAATTGAAACCAGGACCAAAAAAGGAAAAGATGATCCCACCGATACCTAGTTGTTAATCATCGATTGATTGTTTTATTCGATCTATTTTAGGATATATTTTTACTTAGTTTCTATACAAATATAATAAGATATTTAAGTATTAAGAAAATTAATAATATTCATAAGTTAATATTTACTTTTTCTTTTTCATGTAATTGTTTTTGTGCATTATTTAATTCAGATTTAAGTGTATTTGTATGTTCAATTAATTCACTATAACGTTCACGTAAACGTAATAATTCAAATTCAAGTTCAATATTTTTATTGTAATATAAAATATATTTATATAAAAAAAATTTATTAAAAGAAATTTATTCATCATATGTCAATATTTGATTTTCATTTGTTAATTTCATAAGATTTTGTTTATTAATATCATCTAATCGTTGACTACATGTTAGAATATGTTTATGTAATACATCACATTTTAATTTAAGATTTTCCATATGACCTTTAATTCCTTCATCTGAATTATCAAACTAAAAAATTATGAATATTTTAAATATCAATCCAAAAAAAAACGAATGCAATTATACTGTTTGTTCAAATTGAATAGTTTTTTTCTCTGTAATTTCAAGTTCTTGACGAACAAGATCAATTTCACGTTCAAGTGAACGTTGTTGAATAATAGAAAATAATTTTGTTTGCTCAATATCTGATATATTTTGTGATTTTTCCATCTAATATTATTTAAATTAAATTTTACTTTTTTTTTGTTTTTAAATTTTAATAATACATACTAAATATTTTAAAAGATCATTTTCTTCTTGTTGCATAGTTTCAAATACTAATTGATGTATAGATAAAGATGATAATGTTGTTGTTGTTATTTTTTGTTGATCCAATTTTTGATTAATATATGTTACAATATAATCAAGTTTAGAACGAAATGTTTCAATTTCATGTTGTAATTCAATACTTTGTTCCATAAATTTTTTTGATAATTCTTCAGCTTCTAATAAAATACAGAATTGAATTAATTAATTATTTCTATTCTCTATGAAAAGTTTCAAAATACAAAAAACAAAAAAATTAGTCTTTCTCATATTTAAGAAAATGATAAATTAATATTATTATATTTGTTAGAATATATCTGAGAATAAAAGTGAATGTTTTATCTCAAAAGTATGCAAGTCAACATATATTTATCAGTATTTTAGTATCATTAGAAGATAATAAGAATGAAGCAAAGATCTTCTATAGAGAATTCTTTACTATAATCTTGATATCAAATATCAATTTTTTTCTAGGAATGATAAATTTACATTTAAAAAAAAAAAAAGAATTGCTAAAATTAGAAGTAACTTAACAGGAAAAGGGGAATTACGATATTGAATTACAAGCCTACCGTAAGAATATAACATTCTCCATTTAATAATGATCTTTAATTCTAACCGAGAATTTTTTTTTTCTTCTCTTCTTATGTCCATCATCAAAACTATAGTTGGTATATCTTATTGTTTAACCTCAGACGAATCCGTACAACTAATTATAATAATAGTTGAGAAGTTCGATATACGATAGTTTTTACTAAAGATATATCTTCTTTGTTATTCGATAAACAACAATAAAAAGTATACAATAGAAGAAACCATCAACTACGACATTATTATTATTACATGTAACTAATGTCCATTTCAGAGTTAAATGGACGTGAGCATTTTTTGAATAACTTTTGATAGGAACGAGTTAGAGATCTCCGGTTTTCACCGTTGGAAAGAGCAGATGAAGACGCATCGAATTATGTATATAGAAAGATTTTTCTAACTACTTTCCTATAGGTTTTATATAAAACTTCAAGAAAAACAGCATGCTTCTCATGGTCATGATATCAATTTATTGATTTTCAGGAGTGCTCTAGAATGGCCAACGGAAGAGCTACAAAACTATATCAAGACGCTGTTCCTAACTACTACCAGTATGATATATAAACTATCGGAACACAATTTACCACCTCATTGTTTTTCAACAAAATAATCGAAAAATGTAAATTTTTGTCGTATTTTGATAGAAAAGTCACTTTTTTTAACATAGGAGAAAAAAGCAATTCTTTGAAAACTTTTGACTAAATCTATAGGAAAATAGTTAAAAAAATCTTTATAGTTCGATGCGACTTCATCTGTTCTTTCCAACGGTGAAAATCGGAGATTTCTATCTCGTTCCTATCAAAAGTTATTCAAAAAATGCCCACAGCCATTTAACTCTGAAATGGACATTAATAAATGTTGTACAGTTTTGACTCATATTTAACCTATTTTATTTCATTGCTTTATTCTTAAACAAAATTCTAAATACGGGAATTTAACTAACTGATGTATGGTCTTATGCAGAAGCATAAGTCTTACAGAAAAAAAAATTGTATTTTTATTTTGTGATTAATCTTAATGTTTATTATAACATTTACTTCAAGTCTGCAATAGATTTTTAGATTTAATCTTACTGTTAGTATATATGACTATAAGAAATCAAATATATAGATATTTTACATATTCCAATCAAAACTATAAACAATGAAATGAAAAAAGAGAAATTTTGTTTTTAATAATCATAAAAAAAGTTTACAAAATATATTTTGAAATGTAATGACAGAATCAAACAATAGTAAAAATCTCGAGTTCGAAATTAATCCGATGAGCTCTAATAAAGATTTTACTAATCGAAAAAAAAGCAAAATTCGATATCAAATTAGCCTTGTTTCTATTGTTATAATATGATTATATTTGAAGTTTGTTAACTGTAGAAAAAATTCTCCAATTAATTGAAATTACCTGGATCAATAGTAATCACAAGGTTAGTTTATTTTGTATAATGAGATATGTAAAAGTATACTTCATTCATACCTTGATTAAAATTTAGATTTAGATGAGACTTTGAATTTTTCATTATTATAACGTATACATAAAATATACTTATTCTTATTCTTATTCTCAATTACATATAGAATCCATTTTGTTGAATAGTAAATAGGTTTCATAGGAAAGCAAAAAAAAAAATATGACCATTAGATTTTTTTTTCTACAAATAAAATATTTGATGTCTATTATTTTAACTTTTAGAATATAATCAAATTTATTTATTTATTTACTTGATGAATAATATTCATCATTAATATGATTATTTATTTGAGTTGATCATGTATATGTTTGATCAATAATATGTATAAGTCGATTAATATGTTCATTTTTTTCTTCAACTATTTTATCTAATTGTCGTTTAAATTCATTTTCAAGAAAATGATTTTGATTTTCAAGTATAAGATTTTTTTCTTGAAGATAATATACATCACGATGAGCATAATTTAGTTTTTCACGTATTTGCTAAATAAAAACAAAAAAAAACAATTCAAATGTAATCGATCTCTAGATCAAAAAGAAAAAAAATATCAACAAGATACTTATTACATATAAATAGAATAGCCGGGCTGGGAAAGATATCTTACAAGTGTTTAAAGAATGCAATAACAATATGTAGAAATTAAATCTCATTCCCATACACATACTTCAGAATAACAGTACAAAAAAATATATATATATATATATTTCGAATACATAAAAACATATTAGTTATAATACTTTTTTTTTGTTTAAGAAAATATGAATATGTTCTATGTAGCAGAAAAAAATCTAAATCATATTTTGAATAAACAATAGTTAAATATGTATTAACAGAATTTTTTTGTAAATATTGAATAAATTATTGTGAATATAAATTATACAAACTTTTAATCCTTCAGAATAATCTTTATCATCTATATTAAGATCTTGTAATAAATATCTAAAACGTTGTAAAATTGCAATCATTGTTTGTCCTTTTAACCATAATTTCATAATTATTTCACGTTCTTGTCCTTCATGTAAATGATAATCACGTTCAATGGCATTCATAACATCTTGATAAGAAAGAAGATTCTATAACAATAATATTTAAAAGTACATAATTTATAACAAGAAAAAAAATTCTATTATTTTCAAATGACTTTATACTTTTAAATTAATAGATGCAGCAACCGCAACAACTTGACTTGTTTCTAATGAACAATTTAATCGTGAATCTTGATTCGATTGAGATAAAATTGGATTTTGTTGAATAATATTTTCCATTGTATTTGTATTTTTTTTTAAATTTATTCTTAATTCTTCATGATATTCATTTATAATCTATTATATAAGAATCATAATAATAATAATAATTTTCTATTTCTTAATAAATAAATTTTTATACTTCTTGTGATGATGAATGTTGATTGGTAATAAGTTTTTCTTCGATCCAGTTATTCTATCTGTTTGTTTGATTAATTTAATATTATGATCATGATTATTCAAAACCTCAAAGAAAACAAATATAAACCAACCTTGACAATCACGAACATCTTACTTCATTCATTTTTCCTTTTTTTTTTTCCTCTCTTTCTCTCGTCTTTTCTCTTGATAAATAAATCAAAACAACAAAAGAAATGATGTATGTATATGCAAACAAAAATTGAAACATACAGACAAGAAAAAAGAAAGAATTTGAAAGAAATAAAAATTTATATACCTTTTGTTGTTGTTGTTATTCGTTTGAATAATTTTTAATATATTGAAACTAAAATGAAGCAAATTATTGTATAATTAATGTTCAGAAAAACACTTTAGATCAATTCTCTATATTGGCTTCCTTCATACTAAAACATCAATGAGAGAATTGTCAGTCGATACAAAACACTCCCTTTTTTTTATTGTATAGCCTTATATTTTCTCCCTCAGACTAATAATTTAGAAAAAGAAATCAACAAGACGCAACAATATTATTATTTGTCCATTTAGCGACATACTCTATAAAGAAGAAGAAAAATGACAATATATATATACATATTCAAATGAAAGGTTGCTGTTCGATATATCGACATGAAGTAGATGATAAGAAAAAACAACAATATAACATAAGAATAAAAATAATATGCAGACACTTAGAAATGAAAGCGTTTAACGCCCCCCCCCCCCCCCCTCCCCCTCAAAAACCGATCTCATCGCATTTACGTTCAAATGGGCTGAAATTTGGAGCATATGTTGGGACTGAAGTGAGGAGGCTATGGTAAAATTTTCAGCTCGATTTACTGACGTTTGACGGAGACATGAACCAAACAAGGGTCAAAAAATAGGTCATCTTAGCGCCAAAAAATCTCCATGGCCCTTCATTACATATACAATTTTTTTTTTCTTTGAAAGCTTGTCTCTAGGGCTAGCCGGGTGTGGGTGTGGGTGTGGGTGGGTGTGGGTGTATGTATGTAGAAGCGTATCTCTTCTTGCACATACTCACACCCACACCCACACCCTAGATTAATGCTGATGCTTGAATAGATAAAAATGGAAATTTTGATTTAAAAGTTCTTGTTGCTGTTAAACTTTTTATAATTGCTGTTGCTATTGGTTGTTCTAAATAACCTAGACATGGTAAATTAAGTAAATCAATTGGAGTTTTTGGTCGAGAAAGCTTATTTGGTAATCGAATATTCCAATATTTTTCTGATTGTCTAAGAGAAGAGAAGGAAAAAAAGAATTTCACAACTAAATAAAAAATAAAAGAAACCTCATAAATTTTTCACGTGCTTCTTCATTTAATAGAAAATATAATTTATCACGATATTCAACAGCAAATTCTTGTTGTCCAAGTACAAGACATTCGTATCTAAAAATGATAAAAATAAATTTGAAAAAGTTTTATAAAAAAAAGTGTTTACCTTTTACCACCATCAAGATAAGTTGCTGAACAATAACTAGCAAATTCAATAGGTTTAGGAAACATTGGTTTTGCTTCTGCTTCAGTTCGTCGATGTACTCGACGATTTGGTGCTGGTAGTAATTTACGAGGTTCAAGTGGAGCAAAACGTTCAGGATCATCCAAAAATAGTTGAAGTTCTTTTGGTCCAGCCATACGATAATATCGTCCAAACAAATAGGCACCAGGTTTTTTTCTAATTCAGATCAAAATCGGATTTCAATTTCGAGCTGGGATCAGAGTTGGAGCCGGTCCGGTTCGGCCGGTGATCGACCGGTTCCAAAAGTTTTTCAGACCGGTAAAAATGGGTCGGCTTGCCAAATCATTTTTAATCGGTTAAAGAAAATAGCTTTAAAACCATTCAGTTTCCTTTTTTTGCTTCTATTTTAGGAAGCTTTAAGAGAAAATATCGTGTCATAGTCGTTTATCTTTTTAAGAGAGCGTCCACGAGAAAATCAAACATTTTTCAACATGGTCATACTCTCGAAAAATTTGAACCCTATATTTTATCATTGGAAATGAAAGAGCAAAGTGAGAAACCGATAAATCCAAAATTTTAGCTCATTCTGACTTACCGATGAAAAGTTATAAAGTACAAACTGAAAGCACCTTCAACAGGTTTGGAAAAAAAAAATTTTCTTTTTGAAAAATTTGGTAAGTTAGTATTTGGTCATTTTTTCCACAGTGAATTCTCAGAATCTTTTCGAGTAATATACCAACTGATAGAGCGAATTGCTCTCCACAAAACTGTATATGTCATCTTCTCCTCACCCTTCATTTTCTAGGTACAACAATGGCGAAACTATATTCAGCATAAACTTGCTGACATTATTCACCCAGTAAAAAATTTTAGGATTAAAATCGATTACAATCACAAAAACCTGTGGTCATAATCGAAATTAATAACCCGATTATTTTGCATCATAATCAAAATTATAATCGATTATTGTCCGATTGATAATCAACTCTAATCAATTAGAAAGCAGTATTAATCGATAGTTGTTGATTGCAAACGTGATTTTAACCGATTATAATTTCGATTTTGATGCTACAAATCAGGTTAGAGATTTCGATTAAAATCTCGATTATTTTACTTCATAATCCAATATGAAATTTCGATTATCATCGATTATAACCGACCAGAAAGATTTTAATCAATTACAATGACTGATTCTCGTGGATTATTGTCTCCGCTTCCATGCAACGAACTCATGAAAACAATGGTTGCTTGTTCATGAGGAATTGACTTCATCTCTTATGTGCGACTGATCATCAATCGAGCTTTCAAAAGCTACCCTCTGGATAGAATTTGGAAATCTAATTGTAATAGCCTTCGCATGTCGACTCGTAGTTTACTTCTCAATTCTCCATTAGAGGAATGTTCATACTAAGCCTTGAGTTCGATCAGTTGAAACGGTAGTTAATAATGTCACACCATTTCTTTCTTCGAGATTTTAGTTTTACACCCTCTTCATGTAAAACAAATCGAATTTGTCAAGTTGTTTCGTTTCCAAATCAATTATTCTTTGGAGTTATCTTATGAGTTCGATAACTTCGTACTGTTTAGTAATCTTCTAGATGCTCTTGTTAATGTTGAAATCCTTGATCCTTTTCTCTCAATGAGCTTATTGAATAGGTCAATCAAAAACATCCCTTCTGATTCAGTAGAACTTATTTCTTCTTCAAACATTAAACTAGATTATTTCAACACTCGACATCTTTGAAGAACTTCAGCCTACAGAAAAACTAATCGTTGTAACTTTCGCCCCGAAAGCATTCAATCCTGAACTGAATCCGAGATGAAGCTATCGCAATTAGTTTTTTTCATAGCTTGAAGTTCTTCAAAGATATCACGTATCGAAATAATAGTTTAATGTTTGAAGAACAGTTATCTTTGAAATAATTTCGACAGTATAATCAGTTTGCCTCGCACTGATACGAAACTCTATTGAACCAGAAAGGATGTTTCATGATTGGCGTATTCAATAAGCTCATTGACAGGAAAGGATTAAGGATTTCAACATTAACAAGAGCATCTAGAAGATTACTAAAAAGTACAAAGTTATGAAACTCATAGAATAACTCCAAAGAGTAATTGAGTTGGATACGGAACAGTTTGACAAAGTCCATGAGTTTTCCATAAAGAGAATCTAGAACTAAAGACTTCAAGAAAGAAGTGGTGTGACATTATTACCGCTCATTTCAATTGATTGAACTCAAGACTTAGTTTTAACACTTCTCTAATGGAGGATTGAGAAGTAAACTACGAGTCAACATGCGAAGGCTATTACAGTTAGATTTCTCAAATTCTATTTTGAACGTAGCTTTTGAAAGATCGATTGACGATCAGTTGAACGTAAGAAGCGAAGTCAAATCATCATAGAAGTATTTATGAAGCGCGAAAGTAAATCGAACAGGCAACCATTGTTTTCATGAGTTCGCCTGATGGAAGGGGAGAGAATAACTCACGAAAATCGATCATTGTAAGTGATTAAAATCTTTCTGGCCGGTTATAATTGATGACAATTGAAATTTCAAATCAGATTCTGAAATAATCGAGATTACAATCAATTTTAATCGAAATCTCTAACCTGATTTTGTAGCATCAAAATCGAAATTATAATCAGTTAAAATCACGTTTGCAATCAACAACTATCGATTAATACTGCTTTCTAATTGATTAGAGTTGATTATCAATCGGATTATAATCGGTTATAATTTCGATTATGACCACAGGTTTTTGTGATTGTAATCGATTTTAATCCTAAAATTTTTTACTGGGTGAATAATGTCAGCAAGTTTAATAGCTATAAATGTAGACCGACATTTAGTAAAATAAGCTGCAGATAAAATAATTGTTGTAATTTTACTAGTACAAGATTAAAAAGTTGATCAAATGGGTGTATAATAGTATTCGATTTTGTAGAGTTCATTCGTTGAAAGCAATTCAAAACAAAATAAAGCAAATTACTAAATTATATAGCATTTGAGAACATCTTAAAAACGCGATTCATTTACTTTAGCAAGCTATGAATTGAATATGAAGTATCTATATTGTACTGCACATTTTCTGAAAAAAAGAATCACTAACCCATATGATATAAGTGACTTTCAAAATTTTTGAATAACCTATCTTATGAGTTTTTCAATGGTGAAAAATAAATCTCAATTCGGTTCCTAGTTGGAAGAAAAGTCAGAGGTAGCATATACATAAATGGTGCATAAAAATAATGATAAATATGGTTTTCAAGATAGTAGTTGAATATTTTTTGTGGCTTGGATGAACATCATGTGCTACTTTGATTTCAAGAATTTAATATTCATTTGATAGCTCTTTCTTTGCTGTATTCAAAACCATAAAACATTTCTGGGACCATTAGAATTAGCATAGAAATATAGATTGCAATGAAAAAGAGAACAAGAGAAAAATGCGAAAAAAGCAGTAGGGTTGATCTAGTTTCGCGATTGTTTTACCTAGAAAATGAAGGGTGATGCGAAGATGACATATGCAGTTTTGTAGAGAGCAATTCGCTCTATCAGTTGGTATATTACTCGAAAAGATTCTGAGAATTCACTGTGGAAAAAAGTGAGGAAATATTAGTCCACCAAATTTTTCAAAAACAAAATTTTTTTTTCTAAACCTGTTGACAGTGCTTTCAGTTTGTAGTTCATAACTTTTCATCGGTAAGTCAGAATGAGCTAAAATTTTGAATTTATCGGTTTCTCACTTTGCTCTTTCATTTCGAATCATAAAATATAGGGTTCAAATTTTTCGAGAGTACGACCATGTTGAAAAATGTTTGATTTTCTCGTGGACTCTCTCTTAAAAATAGGTCGCATTGGGACTATTGAAGCTTATCAAGTTTTGGTCCCAACTACTTTCCTTTCCTAAGTACTACAACTTTGTTGAATTTTTTTGCCTCTGGTAAGGTTTGGTAAAACAAGTCAAAGTAAGCCATTTCAACTTGAAATTTCTTGCAGATATAGATCTCGTGGATCTTAGATTATTTTGAAAATGCTGAGCTTTCTTACTTTTTGCTGGTGATAAACGCTTATTTTTTTTTGGATATTAAATAGCTCAAGAAGAACACTTCTTTTTTAGTAGAAATTTTCAGAGCATTCTAAGGTCTACAAAACTTACTATGGGCAATATTTTAGGTGAAAATAGGCATTGCATTAAATCCTGTTTTTAAGTGATAAAGATGACTCATTTTCGATATCAAGTGCCATCAGTTCCTGTTAAACTTTCTGGTACTCTCTACTCAACTTTTATTGCTCTATCTGCTGCTAGTTACAGATAGAGCAACAAAAGTTGAGTAGAGAGAACCCGAAGATTTGACAGAAACTGACGGTTCTTGACATCGTAAATGAGTCATCTTTATCACCTAAAAACAGGATTTGGTTCTCGATAGGAAAGTCAATTGAAAACAAGGTTCTTGTAGCAGCCTTCTTATTTCGTCATAGCATTTTCTTTTTCTATTTGTCTGTTATTTCTTATCTCAAAAAGGAGAATACATTAAGCTGTACACATGAAACGCTCTTTGTAACATATTCGCCCTAGCAGACGAACGATACATTTGAAAAATGTCCGTCAAATATAGTTTTCATGATGATATCAAGACAAAAAGATACGAATAATCTTTGATTATATTATATTTGTCAATTCATAGTAAAATTATTAAATTTATTATAATTTACGAACAATATCACTTGGCTTTTCATAATTATTTCAACAACAAAGGAAATAAGACATCCTTTTGATTAGACTTGAAATAATGCGATTCCATTTTTTCTACATTTTGGTTACTGTTGTCCATGCTGACTGCAGCCAAGGTAGTTCCGATAAGTCTGATATTCTTTATTCAGTTAGCAAAATTTTGAAATGATCGATCTCTCTACACGCACTCACTTTCACTATACTGATCATCTAAATAAAGTGTATGGCAAGGATTCATTTGAGCAGCCAACGTATGTCACGAGCTCATGTGTACATTAACGGATAGGTGGTTCAAAACAATAGATGTGCATAATTTTCTCAAGATTAAGCCATAACTAGATGACACCGAAGTTCGAACATAGTAACCTTGACGAACATTATATCTATTCAATCTTATATAAAACACTATGATTCCAGCAAACCTACGAAGTTTTGCTTGTTCTCTCGAGATTGTAACAACACATGGGGAGAAAACAATTCTTGATGCATGTCCACATTATCCTTGAATAAATCTATATGGACAATTATAAATCGTGATTGTAGAAAATTATTAATTTCTATTAATATAATTGACATATTGGTTCTTTTCGCAGACTATGAAATAATATTTCGTGTAATTTTCTTATTATTTTTAATGGTCTATTTATTAGAGATAAACATTCTTTTTCTGTAGTTTGAACTTTCCTAGCTGAACAACCTATTGACCTTCGTTTTGATAATACAAAGTGCGGAAATCAACAGAAGGAAATAATGCAAAGCACAGAAGACTTTGTCGTTCATATTTCCATAAACAAGATGCATTGTTCTCTCTTTTATGATTGTGAAACAAGAAAAAAATAATATGGTAACTAGTCATAAAAAGGAAAAAAATTATTAACGAATATTCGAATGACATTTATAACTAAACAAAAAAAAATAATTGTAAAATTCAATGATTGTTGAAAATCTTCTTTCATAAATCTTCTTAAATATGATTGTTTTAAGTGTTCATATTCGAAAAAGAAAAACATCATCAACTAATTTGATGACATAACAAACAATAAATAGAAAGAAAGAAAGAAAAACTTCTAGGCTTTATATGAATGATGATAGCAAATAAAATAATATGAACGAAGAAAATCTCATACAAGACAAAGATAAGAGAAGGCAAAAAAAAATCTTTGCTTTTTTATGTCCTTCGAACACTATCTTATTTGTTGAAAGCATACATCATATTACAATGGAATCATCTCTAAGTATTGATGAACTTATTCAAGAAATGGATAAACCTAATTTAACTGGTTGGAAATTATTTGCTCAAACTCCAGATGTATATGTCTATGGACGAACAGATGAAGGAAATGTAAAAGATATCAATGAATCATAATAATCATTTTTTTTAAATCTTTATAGAAACTATTACGCTACAAATGTTATTCACACATTCCTGATGTAACACCTGAAGTTTTTTATAAAGTTGCACTTGATATTGAATATCGATTAATTTGGGATAAATACCTAAAAGGTAATTATTCATATTTGATTTAAATAAATCTTTTAATAATAACCAATGTTTTATTTTTTTCTAGAAGCAAGAGAAATAAGTGATGGAGAAAAAAAAGGTGTTTATTGGCAAGTGACAATGCCATTATTTATTGACAATCGCGACGTATCCTTTTTTCGTAAAACACAATATAAAAGGAGCACTGAAATATATGAGTTACAAGTTGAATCACCCGCTCATAGTAGAGCCCGTCGGATCGGAAAGTTTCCAACCCGAATCCGATTAAATCACTCTTAAGAAAATCAATTTTCGTGAGAATTATTAAAATTAAAGTAAATAAATGAGAAGACAGTATGAAGTCTGATTTTTTATCAACAACGTGATTTTTTTATTTGATACTTTCTTCTTTGCGAAACTTTTTGGTGATGTGTGTCATCGCTTATTTGAAAAATATGCTATTTTTAGGAAATGCAGAAAAGTCTTCTCGTATGTTTTCCTTTATTTATGCTTTTTTTGATTACGCATTCCGGAATTCTCGAAGGAGCTTCATTGTAGACCATTGCTTTTTCTTCACGTGAAAGAGCATTTATGAATTAAGCTTTGTTACTATTATACACAAGCGTACTTTTATAGCTAGAGCATCATTTTTTGAGAGATTGAAATTTTCATCCCTTTTCTTACCTCAAAAGTAAAAGTTTAAAGAAAAGACTCTTCCATGTGCTGCATCTTGAGATTCTCTTTTAAACAAAAAATAAAAATAAAGTGTATAAAATAAGGATGTATTGAGAATTTCATGTTGCCAAACGAACAAAAGGTTTTCAGACACCGGTTTGGATTCAGGACCATCAGGACGGGCTCTAACCCACAGACTGTATAGTAATAACGTCTCTTTATAATATATGAGCTAGTATCTTATGATATTTCTGAACAATGAGATTAAGTAAAAGATTAGTGAAGAAATCTGACCCAAAATAGATTCGTCCAAAATTAACAACATCAACTATATCGTGTTTTTTGTATTTTAATCGCGAAGGAATTGCATTAACAGCTGTTGTTTCATAATTCATTATAGGTTTTTCTTTTGAAAATATTAAATCCTTAACTTTGCTTTCCATATAAAATAGTATACATTTGTACGAGATTATGGTGAATATGATATTGGTGATCGTCATTTTTATTATGCTATGGCACGTGCTGAACATTTTAAGAATGTGCCACCAAGAAAAAAAATTGTTCGTATTGAAACTTGTCAATCTCAAACATTACTTTGTTCAGATGGTGCAAAAGGTCTTAAATGTACTGTTAATATTTTAATAAAATCAATCTATAGAACTATTGAAAGATGATTTTGTTTTATTTATAGCTGTCTTTGTATATTGTGAAGATCCACGTGGTAATATTCCAAAAGCTGTTTGGAGTTGGGCTGCTAAAGTTAGCAAAAATTTTTTATATTAACAAAAAGAAAAACATTTGAATCATATTTTTATTTTAGTTTGGTGTTCCATTATATGCAAAATTAACACATAATGCATGTATTGCTTATCCTGCATGGATAAAAGATAAAAATACTAAATTACCTGATGTTACTGAAGATGATATTGATGAAGCAGCAATTATTGCAATGAGAACTGCAATAAATGATTTAGTAAATGATGATAATGAAATTAAACAAGAAAAAGAATAGATAATATGATGTGATGTTATTCAATTTATTTATTTATTTATTTTTTGTTTTGTTTTTTATTCAAAAATTTTTTTCAGTTTTAAACGTAATTCTGGATTCATAGCATCTGTGCTATCAATAAATAAATCAGTACTACCAATTTTTGGTAACTGTCGTATATGATCATTTTCTATTTGAACAAAAATAACATCTGCTATAGATCCTCCATTAATTACTTGAAATGGTCTATTATGAAATTGTGATATTTCAGTAATAATACTAGTTTTATTTGTATTAAATAATTTTTCTTTTGTAATATATGCTAATCGTTGAGAAGCTATACTAAGATGATGTTCACGTTCTTGCCATGTATTTGCTAATTGAACTTGTCGAAGTATAGGTTCTAAATCATAACCATATGTTGTTAATTTTCGAAATGCTGTACCAAACCATTTTGCATAAGGATAATATTGTTTTTCTAGAAGAAAAACAAGACGCATAATATCACGTATAAGACGATTTGCAATTAATGATGAACCAAGTTCATCATTAACTTGTCCAGCACGACTCATTAAATGTTCTTCTTGTCCAATACGTTGCCAACAACAACCAATTAGATACAACGAAATATCTTTTGAATAATAAACAAGTTGTGATCGAATAGTTTCAATATTCATATTATCTGTATGATAAAAAACTCGACCTCGAACTATAGTTAATAAATGTTGACTAGGAAATGTTAACCAATCTTCAAATGTTGGTTCACCATTATGAATTGTCCAATTGAGATATTCAATAAAAAATTGTTTCATTGTCATTATACGAATACCATGACATGTATTTTCTTGATCATTAGATACATTTATAAGAGTTATTTGCCCATCTTCTTCAATATACTTTTTAAATTGTGTTGAATAACCACAAATTGTTTTTTCTCGAAGATTTTTATTAAAAAATAATTCTAATTCATCAATATGTGTTTCATTTTCAAGTAAAAGATCAAATTTTGGTCCCCAATCATGATCACGAGATTGACTTGTATCAAAGCCAAGTACATCAGAACCGTGTCCTAAACGACAAGCTGTATATTGAAGTGAAGGATAATATTCATCGAGTAATGGTTTAGCAATATCAAAAAAGAATCGTTCACTTAAGTCAAGTCCATGAATAAAAGGAATGTCGTCTGGATATGGCATTACTATCTATAATTGAGAAAGTAGGTTAATGAATATTGTTAAGTCTAGGCTTTCTTTAAAAATAGGTTGCATCATATATTTCAAATATTACAAAATTTGTTGTTATTACTCTTATGATTCATCGAGTTAGTATATCAATGGAATGGGTAAGTCTTGTGTGAATCATGTCGAGTCTTGTTTTTACCATCACAGGATCCAGTGGAACACAATGTTATTGAGAATTACAACGAGCTTTGTGTCATAATAAATTTCAATATTTGGATTGGAGAGGGTTCGTTTTTTCTATTTTTAATTAATGCATTGTAAAAAGAAAAACTAATTACAAAAAAAAAGTTAAATACAAAATCTGATCATTGTCAGACACTAAAAGTATAGCAAAAAAAACTAGTATATGTGCTGCTCAACATATTTATATATTAATCAATTCTGTGAAGAAAAATTTCTTGGAAAGGTAAGACTAAAGACATACTAGACAGAATTTTACACTATTCGAAAACGTTCAAAGTACATATGTGAATGAACATTTATTTCCGATAATCCTATAGGTATCAATAATCACATGAAGTTTTTGACAAAAGTTAAATAACAAAGAAAAATCGAACATAATGATAGCAATATATATTTATTTCTAATTACGATTCAAAATAATTTATAATACTGCTCTCATATTTTTCACTCATAAGTTAGTATAAAATACAATGAACGTTTGATCTTCATGTATAAAACAAAAAAATGAGAAATAAACGAAGCGTGTTCAAGTGTGTAGTAATCACCTCTAGATTTTAATTTAATTTTTCTATATGAACCATTCATTCGAATGTACTTTTAGATGAGAAATAACATAAAGAAAGAAGAAAAAAAAAAGGTAATCTGATTGGCTTCGTCATACATATACTTCTTCGACTCTTATCAGCATGGCATCAATAGTCTTTCAATTATGATAAAATGATGGTTCATTAGACAAGCGATTCAACGAATACATATATATTATATATGCATACCCGACATAGTTAATCTCTTGTCAGTTTTTGTTGCTGTTTTTCTTTCTATTTATTCGAATAAGTTTTTTTTCGTTTATTGGCGTCACAATTATTGTGTTGGTCATTTATGATTAATTGCATATTTGTTCAATTCATTTTTTTTTCTATTTTCTTCATCTTATAGACTCAAAAATTTCGACGCCAACAAGAGCAATAACAATAATAAACTATAATTATATATATTGAGAAAATCAATAATAATTATAGATATACGATTAAAATTATCATGATTAAACCGATAGTTTTTAATTAGAGTAATACAAATAGCTTTAAAAAGAAAAAGAATTCGATTTTTATTTTAAATAATTAATCATTCGTGTTCAATCAATATGGGATAAAAAAAACAATATCCATTATCGTGTTGTCTCCATGTTCATTGAAGCAAACATTTCAATTTGCTGTTCAGTTTCTTTATCACATAGGTGAATATCGATGAGTAAAAGTTGTCATCATGATATAAGCCATGATATGGTTTTAAATATATGTTCACTCATTCGCCTCATTACCACTATTCAAACATATTCATTCTCGTGAAAGAAAAAGGTGTGTGTGTGTGCTTTTATACATTTACTCGAATTACTCAGTAGTCTATGTGTTCAATATGTCGGAAGGATTGTATAAATACAATGAATTACATTGCGTAGCATTGAGATCAAACAGACATATCCTGCTGATATACTTGCTTTTTTTGAAAAAAAAAAGAAAATTCCGACTGGTAATTGTTTACATTTTCACTAAGTATTATAATTTTCTCAGTTAATGATGACATGTTTTTTATTTTCGTATGTAGAAAATTATTTGTTCAAAATAAGGAAAAAAAACAACTGATGGTTTCTTATTTTTGTTTTTTTGTTAACAGATTGATAAGTAGGTGGAGCGATTGTAAAAGAAATTAATTGAAAAAAAAAACGAAACGAATTTTTCAACCACTTGATTGCATGTTCACTTTCACACAACACAAGGTATTCACAATCAAAAAGACAGGCAAAAGTTCGAGGTAACTTTGTGTACCACTGACTGAGTTCAAAGAAGTTTTATGCCGATCATCAATTAGAATTCCCTTGATAAAACAAAATCTTATAAATATATTGATTTATATGAAATCATTTATCAAAACAAGAGATTGTGTTTTTCTTATTCGTAAAAAGAAAAAATATCATTGGCGTCTCGACAAATTCAATAATAAAGTGTTAAGATGGTGTAATGGATTGTCTTCTTTTGGAAAATTGTATTGCACATATAAATTTCCCATCCGTTTGATGATCAGTGTTTCTTTTGTCTAAAACACATATTTACACACATCTAATATAATACACCTGATAATTGTCATCGATCGGCTGCTTTAGGGGTGCCGCTATTATGAATAAGAAAACAACACTGATCATTGACATAATATCTTTTGATGATGATGATATTAAGCGATAATTTTTACTGTTCATGAGAAAAAAAAAATTGAATTAAGTACATTAGTGATTAAGAAAATCTAAGGTTTTATCTATTGTTATTGGAATTTAATTATCGATTAAGAGATAGTTCAACCAAAAAAAAAAAAGAAAATAGTCTTTCTTTTCATTTTTTTTCTCTTATCATCTTAATATTAATGCAGCCAATCCAACCAAGATGACATTTGAGCTAATTGCATTTTTCTACTGTTGTTCAGCGAGCTTTATCGAATCTCATTTGACTTGATCCGAATGTGAATAGGCGCATTTCACTTTTGCAAAGAAGAAGAAAAAAAAGTCCGCCTTATTAATGTCAAATGACAGCCATGCTCATGCTTCTGATTTCTATTCGCTGTCCCTTTGAGACAGACAGACAGATAGACGCTCGCGCAATCGATAGGTGAAGAAGAGCGCGCATATTATAAGTTGCTGCATCAAATCCGATTAATGCACATTTTGCCTCGACATATGAGAACAAGAGAGATAGATACATTATCAGATGACAGCATCACAACATAGTCAAATGAACGAACCGAACTCCCTATGCGACAAAAGAGTAAAAGCTATTAATAAACTAAACGGGATGAATGAACATGTATATATATGTATACAGATGGTAAGAGTGCGAAATGAAATCGAATATTTGATTGTTAAATAGATAAAATTACCAAACAAAATTCTAATTATCATTAGTTTATTTTCTTTTTTTTTTTAAGCTGTTTTTTTCTAAAAAAAAACGAGCGTGACTAAGTTAAGCCAACAAATTGATTTAATTGAGCTCTTACACTCGTCTTTTTTTTTTTCTCTTCATCATTCAACCGATTATCACCTTAGGAAGCTAAGAGCATGCACATCAAATCCATTTCCTGCTCCATTAGACAATGTCAGTTTCACTTTTCTTTTCTTTTCTTTGCTCATATATATATATATATATATATTTTTCTTTTTCTCATAAACTAAAAAAGAAATTGTCGCCGATTGGCCGATTGAGAAATGATTATCAACCATAGATATTTTTTTTTTCATTGGTTCTTATTCTTGATTGGCGAAAGATTAACTTGAGAGAGTGAGAGAGAGAGAGAGAGAGCGCAAGCAACAGAGAAAAAAGAAACACACACAAACACAGCAGGAAGATAATTGTACTAAAAAAAGAAAGAGCCTATGTAATTTCCGTTAAACATAAATAAATCAAACTATTTAAATGGAAGACGAACAAGATTTAACTGTACAAAAAAAATTAAGTTTTTCAATTGATAATATTCTTGACAAACCACAACCATTATTTATTAAAATTAAACATCATCATTTACTTATTAATGGTAATAATCAAAAACATTTATCATCCGATGAAAATAAACATATACATTTAATAAATAATCCTGATGATGATAATCATGGTTGTAGTGATTGTTCAGCTATATCAACAAGTGATGATGATGAAAGTTGTTCAGAAGATGGTATTATAAATCAATATCATCATCATGAAATTATACATAGAAAAAAGAAGACTCGTACAGTATTTTCACGTACACAAATATTTCAATTAGAAACAACATTTGATCGAAAACGATATTTATCTAGTGCCGATCGAGCCAATTTAGCTCAAGGTTTACGTCTTACAGAACAACAAGTTAAAGTACGAAAAAAAAAAACTATTTTCTAAATCAAATAAATAATCATGTTTTTTTTCTTTAATTTTTCATAGATTTGGTTTCAAAATCGACGAAATAAGTATGGATTTTAATCTTGGATGTCTCATGTAGGATCGATTAGAGTCTATCAGATCCAAAATTTTTGAACTCGAGTTCTAGTGATGATCTCCCAATCTTAGAAAGTGTTCTTTTTTTTTTTTCCTACGAAAATTTCTTTGCTCAACAAGGGTCATCCTTTCAAGGTCATGAACTGAGTTCTTTTCCAGATCGAAGGCACCATTATACGCTAATTGGCAAGGTACATCGAAGAGTGTAGATGCCGTTGATCTGTAGAAGTTCTTTTTATCTATTTGAAAAATTAATTTTATTAATTTTCTTCTTTAGACTTAAACGTCAAATAGTTGAAGCAAGTCAATCAATAAATTCTGTTGTTGCATCTTTACAGACTCCATCATCATCAAATAATACGATGATTAAACATCCATTAACAATACCCAGTGATTTTTCGTCTTCATCATCGAAACAACATCATCGTTTTGATCCAACATCTTTTTATGAATTAGCTACTCTTGCGGCAGCACATGCAGCAGCTGCTTTTCATAATAATAATAAAGCACAAAGTAGCACAACATTCCAAGATTTTGCCAATTCTCTTACGACTCAAACAGCCGTTTGATTTTTATGACTGAAGTTTTTTCTTTTTCTGTTTTGTCTTATTGCTTTTTTTTTCTGTATGTCTATTTGTATGTGTGTGTATGCGCTGAAACAAAAAAAAGAGCTTTTCCAAGTAATCGAAGCATTTCAAACTATGTTATTTGATCCGTTGCGCCTACAAATGACAAGTATTCGAATTATTGAGAGACAATCTGCATATGTGAATGAAAAAAGAAAATGAGAAACGCCCATTTTTTGAATACTTATCGAACAAATACTGATTGAACGCGTGTCCAAATATAATCGACGAGCAGAAGGTGATTAGTCTTTTGACGCCAACGATTGAGTCATCATATGTTTAAGGTACAAGAACAATAATAACGCCTTAGGGAACAACAGTCGAAATGATCATTGAAATAATTATCATAAGAATTTATATTAAATAAGAAAAAGCTTTATAGTCAATCAAAAGAATTCATTCCATATAAAATTAAGAAATGACATTTTTTTTTTTAATACTTTAATTAAAAACTTTAAATGTATACTTTTATTATCAAGTAAATTTTATGATTATATCTAGAAATCATATCTAAATATGAATCTCGAAGTAATAGAAAAAAAAACAGTTTCGATTATATCGCATTAAAATTTGTTCGTTGGAAAAGAAAATTATAGAAAAGATTTCAAATTAATATATCTGATAAATTAAATGAATATTTCCAATTCGATTAAACACAAGAGAAACCATAAGAAAAATTTAGAATTTCTTTATAAATAGAAAATAATTATTCAAGTAAGAGAAATGATATAGACTTTCTCTATGAATTTCTAAAGTACGATAATCCTTAAACATTCAATTCCCATTCGTACAATATAGATACAGATATAAAATTCGATTGAAATTCAAATTTTACAGTCATCATTATTGCTACAATGAGATAAAACTACAAACTCATTACAACTGTCAACTATATAAAGGGGAAAGAGACAAGAAGTAGTGCAATGCACGAATACGACTTTTCGTGACTGGACTCGAACTGAACTGGAACAGGAGCTAATTGACATTCGGCAGGTACTTTCACAGTCATAGTACGATTTTCAAACATTTATTTTATATCGAAAAATAAATTATGTAGTTTCTTTCATAAACGGCAACGATAAAAATACAAGTGATTAAAGATTCACTTCATGTCTTTCTACTTTTAAAATCTGATCAATGTCGTTAATTATACGTTTATGTGTTGCTGATGATGTTGAAGTGAAACGCAATATTGGTATCAGTTTACATTAATTGTCGCTCCGAACTGATGACAGAATACTACTTAAAAGTCTTAATTTGTTGGATGCACTAGTGTTTTTTGACAACTATAGCTATCAATTATTGATTCATTTTTTTTCATTAATAAAACAAAACACGATATAGAAGTATATTATTCGCTCTAAAATATAAGGAACAATATAGAAACCTGAGATTTCACCAATTAAGATAGAACATCAGGGTTCATCAAAGTAAGTCTTAATCTGATTGATTTGACTTGTAACATGATCGATCGATAGCAAGAAGTCTCCTCTTTCGATATTCGCAAGTCTTAAGTTGGCAGTTGCTTTCATTTAAGAGTAACAGATATTTTCGTGAAGCTCCCGATGCCAGCACTTTGGCCTCGGAACTTGAGACAACTATAAGAAGGTCTTCAAAACTTCAACTTTTATGTTATGTCTACTCAGGGTTATGACTTATTCCTCTCTGAGTTCCTTGTAGAGACTTTCAAAGTCAATTTGCTGGAATCGAAGCTCTTAGGAATAGTCTCGTAACTCTTGAGCGAAAGCAGCTATAAACTGAAGGTTTGCAAAGGTCAAAAGAGAAGATTTTTCTCTACCAGTTGACCATATTACAAATCAAAATCTAATCGAAATGATTTCAAAATCTCGTTTTTCAAATCTTCGTCAAGAACTCACTTCATTGGTCGAGTTCTTCCTATCAAAAGTTATCGAAAAAAACCATTCGCGTTTATTACAATAGGAAAGTTTGTCGTACTTCGAAATATTGGCTTTTTCTCATAGCTTATGTAATAAATGACTTGTACGATCGAGTATAGAAAGAAAAAAGAAATTCTAAATATATATTCATCGTATCATAATAGAGTCAAGTCACATTAATTTCAAAATAATTTTTTCTCTAAACGATAAAATTTAAACGAACACGTGATCAGTTACAACTAACAAAATCAAAGAAAGAACGTTGATACGTTCGTAACGAAAAATGTCGAACCGTTTAGTAAACTTCTATAATTTGAATGCAATGAGACATCTTTGTCTATTATAGCAGAACGTTATACGTCATTTGAAAACAGAAAAAAAATAGATAACGAAATAGAAGAAAAAGAGAATATATTTTCATAGATTTTTCGATTATATATAAAAGCATGTCTTGAAGGGCAGTTTTATTTATTTATTCCTGTCTGTCTCTTCGTACATATAACATATATATATATACGATTCAAACAATCATGATTAGTAGTCGTGCTATATTGATTTTTATATCATTGGTTTTGGCCTTAATTACAGTTATTTCAACAGCTCCAATGCATAATGATAAGTTATATGTGGAAGTATTAGATGATAAATCTACTCATGTAGCCATAACAACAAATGAATCATTAGTTTATGATGATGATAAAGATACATCGAATGCATCAAAGAAACAATGTATTAAATCAACTATGACCGATTGGAAGGAAGAAACTACTTCTATGTCAAAAATCGTAGCTACTGATGTTCTTGCTGTTAATATCACTGAAATATCTGCTAATAATGATGATATTATAAAAATGGTTGATCGTATTCTTGCCGACACAGAAGCTAAATTATCTGCAATAGCAACAACTGAAAAATCAAATCAAGATGATGATTATGAATAAATAACAAAATTCTATTATTCAATATCATCAAGATTTATGAACATTAGTTTTAGATGTTTTTTTTGTGTTAGTGTTGAACTTGATTAAAGTTTTCTTTTCATGTCGTTGTTTTGAAAAAATAAATTCTCTTCGAAATAGTAAATTGCATTTATGTATAACTGTATATGACAAATTGAAAGGATTATATATGCTTCAAAAAATATTTTGTTTTTTGTCATGCTCAGCCATCGGTCATCTACACATGGCAAAGAATCTACTATTGAAAAAGACTATGATCAATAGTTTCTGAAATGGAAACATTTTTTTTTTTTGAGAAGTGTTGATTTTTTTCAGGCTTGCACAATCTTTCTCATGAGGAAATATTTTCTATTGACCAGTCGTTTTTCAATTTTGATTCTATGTATAAGGTCGAGTCCTGTGAAATATGAAAAATCTTAAAAGAATAAGTCCACTTAGATCTTCTGTCCAAAGTTGTGAACATTTTACTAACAAATAGACCTGCCAATGATAAAAATTTTTAGTCGAAATATCGTCATTTGATATGTAGGTGCACACCATATCACAGGCTAAAATACTAGTAAAATGCGTATAACTCTGAATAAACAGCCCAAGAGGAGTTATGTTTTGGAGTTTTTCCATGTTCCATTGGAGTCTATCTTTTGCATGGAGTCCATGTTCAAAAGCAATTGATCAGTTAAAAATGCTCTCTCGTTAGAGCGGGTAACTCAAAAACTCATGTAAAAGATGATAGTGGAATAAATCTTTAACAGAAAATATCAATCATTAGAAAAGGAACTCGTTCATGGGATATCAATTAGCTTGCTTAAATTGCTAATTCTTATCAGAGAAACGACATTAATAAATACTGCGTCATGGAGTTTCATTTGTATCATTTGATGCACAATTCGATGCTGATCAACAATATTTGGTCACTTTTATTTTGATCTCAACTGTGATTTTCACGAACGAAGCAGAAATTCTGTAATGAACAGTACTTTCATTTTTTATTTGATGGAATTGGTTACTACAAAAATGACCTCATATTTTGAAATCTAATTGAAAATTGAATGATTTTTGTATAGAACGTTTATTTATATGTCATCTAATTTCCCAGTAAAATGCTAAGCGCTCAGCTTTTCGAAAAAAAATTTAATGGTAATAGATCCAACTAGTCTGCCATATTGTATATTTGTTTATCAAACTACCACCAGCTGATGTCAGTATACCGGCAACGACCACTGGTATAGCGCACATTATAGCGAACGATCTACCGGTAGTTTTTGTTTGGTTCGAATCATATGAGGTCTATTCGTGATACGAAAGTGCAGAAAGCTTGCTTGTATCTTTAAGAGAATAATATTGAAAAAAATTACGCCTCCGAGATGTGTGTAGAAGAAGAAGACCAGAACTCGCATCCTTCTCTGTATGCGTGAAATTTATGATCAAAAGTCGAAAATACGAGTTTTCCAAAAACTTGAAGTCTTGAGAAAAAAAAACTTGATGTATTAGTCAAATTCAAATTCTTCTAGGATTTTTCCAGAAGCAAAAGTCATTAAAATTGGAACAGGACATCAGACGAAATTTTCTCGTCAGTTTACAGGCTTTGTTAAATACTCATTAATTTTTATTATGAATTTACAGAGGCGTAATTCAGGAATAAGATAGAGAGCGGTTGAACCTCAGAGAAAGAGACGCTGCATCAGTAACTTTCAAAAGCAGGAAGAAGGCATCACGCTTCACGCTCCCCATAGTTTATTTTTTATTTATTTTTCGAGATTATTTAATTAACTGATAACAAGTGTAAAATAAAAGATTTCATACATTTTAGATAGCTACTCGTTTGTCTCCGAAAATATTTATCTAATGGTACGTTTCATTATTTGCGTAAGACATAATCCTAATAAATTATGATCTCAAAGTTGAAATACAATACAATAAACATCCTGTTTCCTTGATTTTGCACATGCAACATCAAACATTTATTTGTTTGATTTTATTTCTCATTTTTCAATAATTTTTATTTTCAATGCAATTATATTCATCAGCAATAAATTAACTGTTTTTAACTGTGAACTAGATAGACTCTTATACAAAACAAATAATATTTATTTACATGAATAATTCAATCACGTAGTTGATTATTTTTTCACTACAACACAAAGTGACAGAAAAGACTGAATACAAAGACGAACATCACCGGAGATCGAGAAAAGCAAAAGTCTATTCATTGTATAAATTAAAAATCACGATATTCGAATTAATCAGGTTCTAATAGTGACATCAAATTCGATTGTAGAGAGCGATTTTTTTCATTAGTTATATTTGTTGTTAATAATTTCTTCATATTCATAGATCCAACATTTTTATTAGAATTCGATGTTGTTACATCAATAATTATATCATTTGTTGGCACTGTTGTTGATGGACGTGGCTCAAATTTAAATTTATTATTAAAATAAAGTGTTATAAATGGACATTGACCAAGGAGAATCTCACATAGATCACGTCGAAGACCAAACCACCCTATAAAAAAAAATATTAAAACAAGTTTTTACTTTTATTTAAGATAAAATTACATGGATTGCTATCACTAGCGCCAAATGAAAATGTCAGCCAAGCTATTAAAGCAATCCATAATGGAATAGATATCACAGTGAAGGAGACTTTTCGAATTTGTTCATTGTCTTCATGATCAAGTCGATCGACAAGTAAAATCTATAAGTGAAAATATTCATTTAAAACTAAATCAACAAGAAAACATTGAAACTAAATAAATACAATGTTTCTCTTTCATCATTTTTTTTCGACTTACTATCTGAAATTTACTACGCATCATTGATCAATATGAAATACAACTAGTGATGTGTAGAATGAGGATAAATACAATGAGGTATTGACAAATACTTTGTGGATTACACTGATATTGGTATCCATGGGAAGCACTGACTACAATGACATCCCTGTTCGTTGAAACATTGAGATACTAATTCTACCAGAATGTGCTTTTTTTGTAGCGATATGTTTCCATACTTCATTGATAGTTTTTATCCTTTGAATAAAAAAGTCTGAATATCGAAGGTAAGTTACTACTTCGGACTATAGGATGGCAACCACATTAATTAAAAATTTGGGCTACGAAAGAAGGGAAGACAATCTTAAAAGCAATTTATAAGTTGGAAGACTTTCTTCATTAAACAGCTAAGGATAGACGTATATCGAGAGGTGTGATTTTCACTATTCAAGAGACGATTCAGAGTCATGGAAGTCTATCGAAATTTCATTAGTCAGCAGTTGACCATATCGAATGAATTTCTGGAGAAAATTTTCAAATATAATTTTCTGTAGCTATTTTGCGTTTCAATTTATATATTTAATAGAGTCAATCAATGCAAAAAGTCAACTTCTGTTAATGAACGCATGATCACCTCAGAAAGCATCTAGACAGCGGTAACTCATCGTGTTGAGTCGACTAATGATGTTTGCTTTTAGATTCGAGTTGATCTAAATCTGTCATTTCAGTATTTCTTAAAGTTTCATAACTAACTTGCATGTAACGAAGGAGACGCATTTCGAAAATATTGAGATAACAGACCTATATAATTTCGAAGCTAAAATCAAATACCATCATCCAACTTACCATGGTGAATTATCCCTGTCTAGCTACTATTTCGGATGATCAAAGATCGATTGACTGAAATCGAAGGTCTTAAAGAAATTCTTATAATTGTCGAATGTAACAAGCTAGGAGTGTCGACCTTGAGTAAAACAAAAGAGAAGAATTTTTCTATCAAGTTGTCCTCCTAAAAGTCTAAGATGAAAGGAGAATAGCTTCAAAATATCATTTTGGCAAATCTCCGTCAAGAACCAACGTGATTAATCAATTGCTGACCAATCATATCTTAATATAATGCGATGAGTTCGAGTCTTCTCTCTTGAATGATAAAAACCGCAGGTTTCTATGATGTTTCTATCAAACGTTATTTAGAAAACAATGAAGCACATTATATTTTTAAATAAATAATAGTAATTTGTAGGACGATTGTTTTGATCATGGATCTTGAACTATTCGGTTTAAATAACTTTTTTCTAGTATTTCTAAGCTCGATAAATTTAAAAACTTTTTATTTTTGGACTGAAATGAATAGTTTTCTATTTAAATTTTAATTAAAAAAAAATGTAAAATATTAAATTACCGCAAAAATGCTAAATGGAATGAACATAATTGCATAGATAATTGCTTCTGTTATAGTACTCGATTCACGTTGATTAGGTATTAAACGACGAGAACAACGATGAATAATAGCAAGAATTAATTTTGAAATAACAAATAATAAGGCAATACATAGAGAAATCCATAATGGAATAAAGACAATCTATAGTCAACAAAAACAAACAATAATATTAATTTATTAATCAAATAAAAGAAAAGAACAATACATACAACATATCGCCATGTTATTGAAGAATCTAAACGAAGTGGAAAAAACAAAAAGAAAAGTCCATTAGCTGAGATGAAGGCTTGAATCTAAATAAAAACAAAAATTAAAATAAATAACAATGTTTCACATACAATTTTTCACATACCAGAAAATTTCTTTGTACTTTTAATGACCATAGACATGATAAAAAAGTCAGAAATGTACATAGATATAATGGAATACAACATACAATCCAACGAGTTTCTAATTTATTTTCTAATTTGTCACATGTCAATATTTCAAATATAAGTATAAATATATGAAGAAAAAAATAAATAATTAATGCTCGGCAATCATTATCTGGTGCACGAATAATCCTTTAAAATAAAATTTCAATACATTTTTATAATGAAAGAACTGACATACACAAAAACCAGTTTTAGCTCACGTAATTTTTTTTCATAGAAAACAACATAGAACTACCCGTGTTGTATCGCACTTAAGCTGACAAATCTTACTGAAATCACAAGCTAATGGATTCATTCATAGGTTGACTAATAGAACATGATTTGAGTTGCATCT